TCATCAACTCCGGTAACAGGAAAAACAAGTAGAAAATCATAGAAAAAATGAATATTGAATTTGCGGGAAAATCAATTGGGGAAAAAAAAGAGAATTACGACAACCTGACAAAGTCCTTGTTAGCAAAGATAGGATGTTTGCATCAAACCCTTAAGATAAAGGGGGGATCTCCATCAAAGGAACCTGTACCATTAGAAACCCTAACAAGATCATGGGATATGAAATAACGGCTACTCCACTCAACATCTCATGTAAATAAAAAGATCAACATAGCCAAAGCTGGTCTTAATAGTCTCTTTAGATTTAATCAAGCCCCTCCACATGTCAAAAAATACCTGTATAAAATGATAATAAGACCTATACTCGAATACCCATGTGTCCCAATGTCATTAACAACAAAGACCAATATGCTACGGTTGCAACAGGTCCAGAATAGAGCTCTCCGCTTCATTACGGGCACCAGGAGGAGAGATAGAGTTAAAATGGCAGATTTACATGTACAACAAGATATAACTGCCTTAAATGTACGTCTTGACACCCTGAAGAAGAAACAACTCTATGCAATGCAAGAACTCTACATGCCAGATAGAGAACATCCTCTCCAAGTTGAAAATACTGTACCACGGATTATATCATCAATATTACTCCTCTTCACAGGACTCAAAGAATGACTCTCCCACAGAGGGTCCGTCGTTTATCCATAAAGACGATTACCATCGACCAATGATACTGAGCAACCTCCCTGCAAATGAAGATGATTGGGTAACACCAGAACCCTTCTATGTTTACTATGAAAATCATCACCCCCAATTAGGGAGACCTCGTGTATAATATTCTACTGTTAAAATTATGCTACGTTTACTATGGCGGGACACCACCTTGTAAGAAGCTATTGTGTCAAGTAATTCTTTATAAACTGACCAGAAAATTATTGCCTTCATTGTCGTTTAAATATCCGTTGTGCAATTGCAAAAAAAAAAAAAAAAAAAAAAAAATCGCAACTTGTATATTTACTACCAATTCAGAGTCATGTACTTATATATCTGTTATATCTATGTGACTCTGATGGGTTAGTATTATACCTATTCAAGAATATTATATTACTCCACATACACTTTTTAAATTACACCAAAGTGGTTGGGCCACTTACCTTTTATATCCTACCTCTCTCCCCCCTCCCACCCTTTTCCAAGATTTCTGTCCTTACCCATCTTACCAAAGCTCTGGTCATAAGAAGAAGAAGAAGAAGGTGAAGGAAAAAGTAGGACCTCTGAAAATTGGGAATGGACAGCTGACGGATAACGAACTGGAAATGTGTTCCTTATTTAATGACTATTTTTTGTCAGTTTTTACACAGGAAGATATAAATGAGATTCCAGTAATTAACAATTATTTAGTTCATGATGAATTTAAATTAACTAATATTACTATCACAGGGGACATGGTTATTAAACAGACAGACAAACTGAAGCAAAGTAAGTCCCCAGGACCCGATGAGTTGTTTTCCAGGGTACTTAAGGAATGCAAGATGGAGCTTAGTCAGCCATTAACGAGTGTGTTTAATGCGTCCATCCTTACCGGTGTTGTGCCAGAGTTGTGGAAGATGGCTAATGTGGTTCCTATATTCAAATCAGGGGATAAGTCCACTCCTTCTAATTACCGTCCAATAAGCCTGACATCTACAGTGGTCAAGTTATTAGAATCAATTATAGCTGACATTATTAGAAGTCACCTTGAAGAGCATAACTTGATAAATGAATCTCAGCATGGATTCACGAGAGGTCGTTCCTGCCTGACAAACTTACTGATGTTCTTCAATAGAACATTTGAGGTAGTTGACAGTGATAAAGAATATGATATTGTTTATTTGGATTTTAGTAAAGCCTTCGATAGAGTACCTTACAAGAGACTCTTAAGAAAAGTGGCAGCTCATGGTATAGGAGGTAAAGTTCTAGCATGGATAGAGGCATGGCTTACCAATAGAAAGCAGAGTTTTACCATTAATGGGGTGAAATCTGAATGGGGATTAGTCACTAGTGGGGTTCTACAAGGATCAGTTTTAGGCCCTCTCTTGTTCATAATTTACGTTAATGACCTTGATGAAGGGATTACGAGTGACATGAGTAAATTTGCTGATGATACAAAGTTAGGCCGTATAATTCATTCTGAGGAGGATAGCAATGAACTCCAGGAGGATTTGGACAAATTAATGTCCTGGTCTACAAAATGGCAGATGAAGTTCAATGTGGATAAGTGTAAGGTACTAGTCTTTGGTAATGAAAATAACCCTCGAAGCTATAATGTAGGTGAAGCAGAGCTTGATCATAAAGAATGTGAAAAAGACTTGGGAGTCATGGTAAGCAGAAATCTAAAGCCAAGACAGCAGTGCCTTAGTGTGCACAACAAGGCTAACAGATTACTTGAATTTATCTCAAGAAGTATAAGTAACAGAAGTCCAAAAGTTATTTTACAGCTCTATACAACACTAGTGAGGCCTCATTTAGATTATGCTTCTCAGTTTTGGTCCCCTTACTACAGGATGGATATAGACTCATTAGAGAACATACAGAGAAGAATGACTAAAATGATTTACTGTGTAAGGAATCTCCCATATGAAGATAGACTTAAAGCCTTAAATCTCCACTCTCTGGAGAGACGTAGAATGAGGGGAGATATCACTGAAGTGTATAAGTGGATGACGGGCATAAACAAAGGAGATATTAATAAAGTACTGAGGGTGTCGAACCAGGTAAGAACCAGAAATAAAGGATTTAAGTTGGATAAATTTAGATTTAGAAAGGACATAGGTAAGTACTGGTTTTCTAACAGAGTTGTAGATGCATGGAACAATCTTCCCAGTTGGGTGATAGAGGCTAGGACCTTGGGTAGCTTTAAGAAGAGATTGGACAAATATATGAGTGGGAGGGGCTGGGTTTGATTGGTGTCATTGGGTACAGGAGTTATTTCTTGGGTAGCTTTAGGTAGAGGTTGTTTTGATAAGGACCTGCCTTGCATGGGCCAGTAGGCCTTCTGCAGTGTTCCTCCATTCTTATGTTCTTAATGGTGGTGAAGCAGCAGCTGAGGCAGCAGGGTTTTCTGTAGCCCTATATAACTCCAACAACATTGTAGGAGTTAGTAGTATCGCTGAATCACTGAAGAAGGCACCCTCTACCACCATCACAACCACTACCACTGTCTACCACCATCACAACCACTACCACTGTCTACCACCATCACAACCACTACCACTGTCTACCACCATCACAACCACTACCACTGTCTACCACCATCACTATCACCTTCTACCACTATTGCAACTGCTACCACCATCACTACCACCTTCTACCACTATTACAACTGCTACCACCATCACTACCACCTTCTACCACTATTACAACTGCTACCGCCATCACTACCACCTACCACCATCACTACCACCCTATACCACCATCAACCACTATCACAACTGCTTCCACTCTACCACCACCACCTTCGTATTTTTCTACAAACTTTTTCTTAAATTTATGTGTGTTTCTCACATTCTTTACCAAAGGGCTGGCACTAGAAGGTTTCTTTGGAGCCATGGTGACTTATTTAGCAGTTGCAAGCACTAAAATAAATGGAATATTATGAAACGTATCATATGAACTCGTGGGATCATCCTCACTCACTGATAAACAATGGCACACTGGTTGGGAATGGAGTGTGAGGCGGCTCAGGGCTGTATGTAGACATCCCAGACGAACAACTATTTGCAAGTCAAACGACGATTCACGAGCCAATGTTTTGATGAAAATAACGTTACGATTTTCGAAAATTACGACTATCGAGCCTTACAATTATCGAGGGACCACTGTACATGTATATTGTTTGTGTATACTGCGAACAACAATGAGCCCAACACTGACCCAAGTGGAACACAGCTTGTGACAAGTTCCCACTCTGATATCTCTCCATTTATGCAAACTCTGTAACCTATCTGTTAACCATGCCTTTATCCAGGAGAAAATTTTTCCTTCTACTCTGTGTGCTGCTACTTTCCTCAACAATCTCCAATGTGAAACTATCAAAGGCCTTACTGAAGTACGTACATATACACAATTTTTTTTAACACATTAGCCATCTCCCACCAAGGCAGGGTGACCCAAAAAAGAAACACTTTCATCATTATTCAACACTTTCACCATCATTCAACACTTGCACCATCATTCAACACTTTCACCATCATTCAACACTTTTGTCATCATTCACACATAATCATTGTTTTTGCAGAGGTGCCCAGATATGACAGCTTAGATGTCACTCCAAACAGCCAATATCCCAAGCCCTTCCTTTAAAGTGCAGGCATTGTACTTCTCAACTCTATGACTCAAGTCCGGCTAACCGGTTTCCTTGAATCCCTTCACAAAATATTACCCAGCTCATACTCCAATAGCTCGTTAGGTTCCCAAAAGCTATTTGCCTCCATTCACTCTTATCTAACATGCTCACACATGTCTGCTGCATGTCCAGGTCACTTGTACACAAAATCTCTTTTACCCCCTCCCTCCATCCTTTCCTAGGATGACCTCTACCCCTCCTCCCTTCCACTACAGATTTATACACAATACAGCCTCTCCTCACTTAGCGACATACTCGTTAACCGAAGCCTCGGACTTACGACTAGCTCTCTGACTAGTATTCATGCCTAAATAATGTATATTAGAGCTGATTTCCTCTATTCTGTTTATTTCAATATACAGTACACTATAAACATTTAAAAATATGCCAGAAATGTTATAAATAGTGCAAAGGTGACATTAAAACAATATAAAAAATGGTTGACACAAACTAACTACCATTATAGTATGCTCCTCATTTAGTTATGAATTTGTTTAACAATGTGGTCTCAGGAACAGAACTCTGTCATTAAGTGAGGAGAGGCTGCATCATATTTATTACCATGATCTCCCTCCCTAAATACCAGTAGCCACATAAGAGATATAAAGACAGAACATTACCTGGAAAACACCATCAAGCATATGAAATTGATAGCCACAGTTCTCTGGAACATCAGTCTTCCAAGGACTAACTTCTTTACGAGGTGGGTCAATAGGGTGATCTGAAAAAGAAACAAATACTGCACAAAAGATAAAAAAAAAAAAAAAGGGATGTCTCTATTTAAGTACATACAGTAGATGGTTACAAAACAGACATTAGAATTTAGCTATCAAAAGTATTCTAAGAACTTTAACCACTATTAAACTAAATAAAAAATGATATTCCATTTTGCTGGACAATTAACAGCATAATGTTTATAAACTACATTTTATTTTATTTTTTAACACACTGACTCTCTCCCATCAAAGAAGGGTAACCCAAAATAAAAAAAAAGAGAGGAGGAAAAGCACACTACCCTGGTGGAAGATTGCAGGTATTATTTAAAAAAAAAAAAAAAAAAAAAAAAAAAAAAAAAAAAATCTTATGTGTACAGTAACATTATCTAAAAAATTCATATTATTTTGGTTAGTACAGGGAAAGCTGGCAAAAGTTCAACCAGAAAAATGCATATGGAGTGACAAATTGCAGGAGGCAATAAGGAAAATTGGAATAACACTACTAAAGGAGAAATGCACGATGTAGGCTGTGCCAAAGGAATGTAGATAAATGCAGTGGGTGCTCGAATATCTGCAGTGAATTGGACTGGGGTATTTTGATTAGGGAACCAACTACTTCAACAAACTGAAAGTTTTGGAAAAAAGAAATTCTAAATGGTTACCCTTCTAGAAGGGAAGGGCTACAAATTCTTAGTGCCCATAAGAAAGTATTAGAGGTGGAGTTTGTCTTGATATATGAGCACAAAGAATCTGCAGCCTCTCTCTTCTAGATCAGGAAAAAGCTATCATCCAGAAGACTTTGCCACATTCAGATATCCTGGTTGGTTTATTAAAGCTGGATTCACTGAAGCAAAAACTATTTCAAAGTTTATAAAGAACAAGTGACAAATAAGCCTACAACTGGGATTGACAAAAACAGCAAAAGCATCACAGATATAGCCTTCTCCTATCTCAAAAATATAGTTACTTCTTGAGAAATCACAAGACACTGGTCAACACTGAAACTCCAATCATTGATTGTGAGTTGATTTACATGAGTGAGACTGGCTGTGGTCTCCACTAGAATAACTAAACACAAATGATCTGTTAGATATGCACAATAGAGATCCTCCTTTTTTTTTAATATGTAAAATCTTGTAGACACACAGTAAACTGGGGAAGGCAATAAGATAACACATAAAATGAAAGACCTGTTCAAAAGGAAGACATTGAAAGCAGAGCAGATGTTATACATCAAACATCCAACTTCAATATTACATCCTACTGGATGTAACTACAAAGTTTACACTGAAATACATACCAGGACCTATTTTAGGCAGATAAAACAAACTATCTGACATATTCCTTAATTCCTCAATGAGATATCAAATACTCAAGCCCCACCTCAGACAACTAAGATTATTATCCACCTACCCCCATACCCAGTTGTCACTATATAAACATATTATTATGATATTTGTTCTTGTTTATGACGATCTCAGAGTAAGACTGAAATATACAGATCAAATATTCTCTCTTGTCTGTCTATATGGTATCTTCTCCCACCGACATTTTCATGACACTTTTATGTTTCATCGTATACAGTAGAATCTTACATTTTGCAATAGCGCATATTATTTTTTTTTTATTATTATCACACCGGCCGATTCCCACCAAGGCAGGGTGGCCCAAAAAAGAAAAACTTTCACCATCATTCACTCCATCACTGTCTTGCCAGAAGGGTGCTTTACACTACAGTTTTTAAACTGCAACATTAACACCCCTCCTTCAGAGTGCAGGCACTGTACTTCCCATCTCCAGGACTCAAGTCCGGCCTGCCGGTTTCCCTGAATCCCTTCATAAATGTTACTTTGCTCACACTCCAACAGCACGTCAAGTATTAAAAACCATTTGTCTCCATTCACTCCTATCAAACCGCTCACGCATGCCTGCTGGAAGTCCAAGCCCCTCGCACACAAAACCTCCTTTACCCCCTCCCTCCAACCCTTCCTAGGCCGACCCCTACCCGCCTTCCTTCCACTACAGACTGATACACTCTTGAAGTCATTCTGTTTCGCTCCATTCTCTCTACATGTCCGAACCACCTCAACAACCCTTCCTCAGCCCTCTGGACAACAGTTTTGGTAATCCCGCACCTCCTCCTAACTTCCAAACTACGAATTCTCTGCATTATATTCACACCACACATTGCCCTCGACATGACATCTCCACTGCCTCCAGCCTTCTCCTCGCTGCAACATTCATCACCCACGCTTCACACCCATATAAGAGCGTTGGTAAAACTATACTCTCATACATTCCCTCTTTGCCTCCAAGGACAAAGTTCTTTGTCTCCACAGACTCCTAAGTGCACCACTCACTCTTTTTCCCTCATCAATTCTATGATTCACCTCATCTTTTCATAGACCCATCCGCTGACACGTCCACTCCCAAATATCTGAATACGTTCACCTCCTCCATACTCTCTCCCTCCAATCTGATATTCAATCTTTCATCACCTAATCTTTTGTTATCCTCATAACCTTACTCTTTCCTGTATTCACCTTTAATTTTCTTCTTTTGCACACCCTACCAAATTCATCCACCAATCTCTGCAACTTCTCTTCAGAATCTCCCAAGAGCACAGTGTCATCAGCAAAGAGCAGCTGTGACAACTCCCACTTTGTGTGTGATTCTTTATCTTTTAACTCCACGCCTCTTGCCAAGACCCTCGCATTTACTTCTTAAAAACCCCATCTATAAATATATTAAACAACCACGGTGACATCACACATCCTTGTCTAAGGCCTACTTTTACTGGGAAAAAATTTCCCTCTTTCCTACATACTCTAACTTGAGCCTCACTATCCTCGTAAAAACTCTTCACTGCTTTCAGTAACCTACCTCCTACACCATACACTTGCAACATCTGCCACATTGCCCCCTATCCACCCTGTCATACGCCTTTTCCAAATCCATAAATGCCACAAAGACCTCTTTAGCCTTATCTAAATACTGTTCACTTATATGTTTCACTGTAAACACCTGGTCCACACACCCCCTACCTTTCCTAAAGCCTCCTTGTTCATCTGCTATCCTATTCTCCGTCTTCCCTCTTAATTCTTTCAATTATAACTCTACCATACACTTTACCAGGTACACTCAACAGACTTATCCCCCTATAATTTTTGCACTCTCTTTTATCCCCTTTGCCTTTATATAAAGGACTATGCATGCTCTCTGCCAATCCCTAGGTACCTTACCCTCTTCCATACATTTATTAAATAATTGCACCAACCACTCCAAAACTATATCCCCACCTGCTTTTAACATTTCTATCTTTATCCCATCAATCCCGGCTGCCTTACCCCTTTCATTTTACGTACTGCCTCACGAACTTCCCCCCCACTCACAACTGGCTCTTCCTCACTCCCACAAGATGTTTTTTCCTCCTTGCCCTATACACGAAATCACAGCTTCCCTATCTTCATCAACATTTAACAATTCCTCAAAATATTCCTTCCATCTTCCCAATACCTCTAACTCTCCATTTAATAACTCTCCTCTCCTATTTTTAACTGACAAATCAATTTGTTCTCTAGGCTTTCTTAACTTGTTAATCTCACTCCAAAACTTTTTCTTATTTTCAACAAAATTTGTTGATAACATCTCACCCACTCTCTCATTTGCTCTCTTTTTACATTGCTTCACCACTCTCTTAACCTCTCTCTTTTTCTCCATATACTCTTCCCTCCTTGCATCACTTCTACTTTGTAAAAACTTCTCATATGCTAACTTTTTCTCCCTTACTACTCTCTTTACATCATCATTCCACCAATCGCTCCTCTTCCCTCCTGCACCCACTTTCCTGTAACCACAAACTTCTGCTGAACACTCTAACACTACATTTTTAAACCTACCCCATACCTCTTCGACCCCATTGCCTATGCTCTCATTAGCCCATCTATCCTCCAATAGCTGTTTATATCTTACCCTAACTGCCTCCTCTTTTAGTTTATAAACCTTCACCTCTCTCTTCCCTGATGCTTCTATTCTCCTTGTATCCCATCTACCTTTTACTCTCAGTGTAGCTACAACTAGAAAGTGATCTGATATATCTGTGGCCCCTCTATAAACATGTACATCCTGAAGTCTACTCAACAGTCTTTTATCTACCAATACATAATCCAACAAACTACTGTCATTTCGCCCTACATCATATCGTGTATACTTATTTATCCTCTTTTTCTTAAAATATGTATTACCTATAACTAAACCCCTTTCTATACAAAGTTCAATCAAAGGGCTCCCATTATCATTTACACCTGGCACCCCAAACTTACCTACCACACCCTCTCTAAAAGTTTCTCCTACTTTAGCATTCAAGTCCCCTACCACAATTACTCTCTCACTTGGTTCAAAGGCTCCTATACATTCACTTAACATCTCCCAAAATCTCTCTCTCTCCTCTGCTTTCCCTCTCTTCTCCAGGTGCATACACGCTTATTATGACCCACTTCTCGCATCCAACCTTTACTTTAATCCACATAATTCTTGAATTTACACATTCATATTCTCTTTCTCCTTCCATAATGATCATTTAACATTACTGCTACCCCTTCCTTTGCTCTAACTCTCTCAGATACTCCAGATTTAATCCCATTTATTTCCCCCCACTGAAACTCTCCTACCCCCTTCAGCTTTGTTTCGCTTAGGGCCAGGACATCCAACTTCTTTTCATTCATAATCAGCAATCATCTGTTTCTTGTCATCCGCACTACATCCACGCACATTTAAGCAACCCAGTTTTATAAAGTTTTCTTCTTCTCTTTTTTAGTAATTGTATACAGGAGAAGGGGTTACTAGCCCATTGCTCCCGGCATTTTAGTCGCCTCATACGACACGCATGGCTTACGGAGGAAAGATTCTTTTCCACTTCCCCATGGACAATAGAAGAAATAAAAAAGAACAAGAGCTATTTAGAAAAAGGAGAAAAACCTAGATGTATGTATATATATATATGCAT